GGCTCAGGCCGCGCCGCGCTGCGCGCCCCGCCCTGCAGGGGGCGCTCTGACGGGCTCCGCGAGCCCGCGCCTGGGGGTGTGCCTTCGAACTCCTACTAACCAGCTACGGTGGCTTCTGCGGAGAAGCCCAGGGGTCGGCGCTGACGTGATTGGAGGGGCTGGGTGTTTCCTGTTGCTTTGGTGTGTGTGTGCGTGGTGATAGTCGGAGGAAAACAGAAGTGTTGCTTTGCCATGTGAGAACTGAGAGAGGACTGCAGCCAAAGATGTTTCGATGGAGAAATGACTGAAAAATCTTCGGGGACAGGAGAAGAGATCTGCAAATTAATGGATATTTTGCTGTGTGAGTGCTGCTGGAAACGTGTCCTCGTTGCAATATTAACGAGCGCGGAGCCACACCCTGGGCTGCGCACCCAGAAAGTGCCAGGCGCGCTAAACAGCTTTCGCCTGCGTTATCATACTCAATTCTCACGCACACCTTACGAAGTAGCTATTATAATCTCTGTTTCCCCATGAGGAGGACAAGACTCAGCCTATCCCAGCAAGCCACATATGCCTCCAAACAAATGTTTGCATTGCTTCATTATGGATACAAGAACTCATGGGTCGTTAGTCACCAGCATAGGAGTCAGGACTCATCATGAGCCCCTGTACTTTCTGATGTCCAAAGCTTTCACCAACAGAGTGAAGAGACAACTCACAGAACGGGAAATAATGTTTACCAGCTATTCCGCAAAGACTATGTAAAGAACTCAAATATATATGCAGACTATATAAAGAACTCACACATAAAGACTATATATAAAGAACTCAAATATATATAAAGAATATATAAAGAACTCAAGATAATCAGATTTAAAGACCCAGTCTAAAACTGGGCATCTGAAATGAGTAGGCACTTCTCAGATGAGGAAGTACAAACAACAAACGGGCATACACAAAATGTTCAAAACCACTGGTCATTGGAGAGGTGCAGATTAAAACACTGAGATTCTACCTCATTCCAGAAAGAATGGTCGTCATCAAGAAATCAGCCAGTGACAAAGGCTAATGAAGCTGTGGGAAAAAATGAATCCTTCTCCATTGTTGGGTGAGTGTAAGTTGGTGCAGCCAATATGGAAATCAGTATGGAGATTTCTCAAAAAAATCAAAACTAGAGGTTACATTTGATGTAGCTATTCCTCATTCTGGAATCTTCCTGAAAGAGTTAAAAGCATCATACCACAGTGATATATGCACACGCATGTTTCTAGCAGCACAATTTGTAAAGCTAAATCTTGGAAACAGTCCAGATGCCCATCACTGGGTGAATGGATAAAGAGAATGTGGTTTTTATAAACAGTGGAATACTATGCTGCTATAAAGAAGGATTAACTTAAGACATTTTTAGGTAAATGGTGCACCTTTAGACCATAGTTTTAGGTGAAATAAATCAGACACACATGTTTAAATACTGCTTTCTCTTGTGTGAGAAGCCGAATGCATAAATAAGGACTAAAATGGAGGGTAGATATTGGAAAGTAGGAAGAAAATGTTCAAATGGGAAGAGGAACGAGAGTGAGGAGGGCGGGAAGGTAAAAGGAAACAAAAGAGAATAGAAGGGAAGAAATGGAAACAGCTTTTATAAATAAGGAGGAGAGGGAGGGTTGTAAGCAGGGGAAGGAGATGAAAGAACAATCAAGATGTATTATATACAGGTATAAATTCCATCCAATGAATGTGACCATAAAATTATTTTAAAAGACTTTAAGAAGAGGCAATTCTGTGAAAAAAAAATTTTAAAATAAAAATTTCACTGTATAGATGAGGTCCTAGTGGTTGATATATCCTTTATCTATTGCTGCACAACAGATTACCACAAACTTAGTGCTTGAAAAACATACAAACGTGATTGCATAGTTTCTGAGGGTCAGAAGTCCAGGCATGGCTTAGCTGGATACTATACTCACAACATCGTAGTGAAGGTGTCAGCGAGATTACGTCCATCAGCGGGCTCTCTGGAGCAAGACTCTGCTGCAGGCTCCCTCCAGTTGTTGGCAGAATTCATTCTTTGCAAGCATAGGGCTAAGTCCCCAATTTCAGTTTGGATGTCAGCAAGAGGGTCCTTGGCTCCCGCTCTGGCACTTCCTAAAAGTCAGGTGGAAGTCATGGAGACATGGAAGAGTCTGTGTGCCACCACTGTGCGGTCAGACACCTCAGTTTTTGTGGACCTAACTGTGGTGTTATCATAATGCCAGAAGTGATGCAAAAAAGTTCAGAGGCTTCCTCACCATGTGGGACTATATGAATGGAATCACAGAGGTTAATCCCTCTGGCAGTTCATGAAAGCTACAAAGGAGCAAATAATCTGTACCATGTGTTCAGACTTACATATCACCTGTATGATATGTTGTATCTGTTAGCATAGAAGCAACTCAAAAATGAGTTGATGTATCTGTTAGCATAGAAGCAACTCAAAAATGGTCTGAGAGTCCAGATGATGATCAGTATTCCAAGTATTCCACATTCATTACCATCAACTAAAATCTACTAAAAAGACTACTGCTTTTTTCAGGAAGACAGGGTAGATTTAATTTTTTTCCATTCTTCTCTCATTCACAACTTAAAATCCTGGACTTATATATAAACCAACATAAGATTCTGAAAGGATAAAAAGGAAGGTAAATTAGTTATGCTTTAACCCAAAGAACAACGTGATGGAGTGTCTTTAGCTTTTATTTTTTGCTTTACTGTCCAAGACTTTGAGATGACAATTCCAATGCCAATGGTGAGTTTTGGATCTGGAATGTTCCCCAAAGTCCTATGTGTCAAAGCTTGGCCCCCAGCCCATGGCTGTCCTGGAAAGTTATAGAACATTTCTGAGGTGGGGTCTAGTGGAAGGAAGTTAGGTTATTGAGGGAGGGTCCTTGAAGGAATATTAGGTCCCTAACCCATCTTCCCTTCCTAAATTTCTGACACCATGAAGTAAGCACCTTTGCTTTGCCATGCACTCCCACCAGAATGTTCTATCTCACCTCAGAACCAAAAGAAAGAGGGTCACCCTACTGTAGACTCAACCTTTAAAGTCATGAGCCAAAAACGCTTATTCCTTATAAGTTGTTTATCTAGGATATTTTGTCACAGTGATGTTAAGCTGGCTGTGACAGTAATTCATAAATGTCAATAGACAGTCAGGCATAGAGACACACATACACACACACACACACACACACACACACACACACACACACACTCCCCAAAGCCTGTTCTTAGCCAAGGCAAAGACAAAAACGTATCCTTTCATACAATAACACTTCACTCCACCAACCACCATAGTAAAACTTGTAGCCCCATTCACACCCACACCCAAACAAAGACTAAGGGAGATTCCTATTTTCCACATTTACTTGGTTAGACCAGGCTATAACTGGGAGAAAGTGGAAATAGTCCTTAACAAAACAATAGAAAGTAGAATTCCATCATACAGAAAAATAACTATATACACTGGCAAGTGGGACTTTTTTAGGGATAGGAGGCTTGTTAAGTATTCCAAAATCAATCAGTGCAGAGCAATCCATAATATTAACACACTAAAGAAGTAAAAATTCCCAGGGACATATCAATCAATGTAGAGTAAAATTGAGAATGTAGAATAAGTCAGCACCATAAAAATTTTCAGATAAATGGTAATAGGAGAAATCTTCCTCGCTTAGATAAAGAGCAGCTATAATAGATGCACTGAAAATAATACCCATAATATGAAAGACTGAATGTTCCTCATATATACCTTGTGATTCTATTTATATAATATTCTAAAGTAACAAAATTATGAAATGGGGAAGAGATGAGTGTTGCCAAGATAAAGCGGGGATGAAATCAAGGGAAGTGGGTTTGGTTATAAAAGGGCAACATGAGAGACTTTTGTGTTCAAGGAAATGTTCTGTCTCTTGACTTGATCTGTGAGATATTGTTGGGACAGTGCACTATAATTCTGCAAGATGATAACACGGGGTGAACTGGGTAATTGGTAGCCAAGATCTCTTTGCATTATATCTACCAATTATGTGTGGATCTATAATTATTTTAAAATAATAAGTTTTGTCCAAAAACATTTCTGACTCTATCTCCCTCATCATCTTAGTCCATACAACTTAGTAATGCAGGTTACTGAGTGGGGCTCTCCCCAGGAAGAAAGCATCTCTCAGGTTCTTCTTTGGTATTGTTCTGGATGACAGCTCTAGAGGATCACCCAAAAGTGTTTGGAAAAATTGGGATTCTTTCCTGACTGCTTAGGGGCATGATGTTTCATTCTTTCCCATACTGCCAGTACAAGACCAGCTGAGTTAGTACACCCTCCGGTGACAGCCTGACCTGTTAGATTGACATAGTCAATCTATGTCACTTGACTGAGTGCATTCCTCACCAAGTCCTCTCAGAGAACAATGTACATGTATGTGCTTGTATGTGTGTACAAAATACTCCATCAATATTAATTTCTTGACCTTGATATTTTACTGTATTCCCATGAGAAAAAACCCTCATGTTAGGGCACTAAGGAAGGTTTAACCAAGAAAATTAATGAGAAGGTGATGACTGAGTTAAGACCTATGGACCTAGAGACAGAAAAAAAGAAAGAGGGCTTGGTTCTGGGTGGGGAACCAGAAATAGAC